TCGGCTTGTGAATTTAAATGCGGCGCCTAACCGCAATGCGTACTTCAGATGGTATCAGTTAGCGATGTTTCCACGATTTTATATGTGCCGATCACTGTGCATACACACACATGCTCTGTTTCTAGCTTGTTTCACCAGTTGGTGTACAATAAAATCAAAATGGCTAACACAATCAAGCCCAGAAGGATCACGTTTCACTTTACGGAATCTTGCTCTTGGTAACTACTAATTGCAAGTGTTCAAATGATTTTGGCGCTGTCTGTGGTTTTGATAACTTTAAGGTCTCCATTCTGTCCACATGATGAGGCGTAGTCTTCTTGCTAAATTCGCTTTGAAACCGCTCCGATGCATGTGCATACGTATCCACAAGCATACCAATGTAGTCATGCGTTCCAAAAGATTTCATCTCACCGCGGAGAGATTAGTTCAATGCACTGAATAAAAGGTTTTACTTGAGTTGTTGAAGGGAACATGTATCATGTATCGTTTTACCACGTACAGCACACTAATTTCGGTCAGTTAGTTTATTGAAGCACAACAGATTCTATGAAAGGTTGTTGAAGTCTGGTACTCTCCTTGATTTGTTGAAGGATGGAAATTTTGACACGTTCCATGAATAATTAAAAACGGTATTTGACGCTATTGTTGTGTAAACAACAAAATAAAAGATCGAATTCCTCGCCGAATCAATTCACTACCAACTAGTTTGGGTTTACAATAAAATCTGGCGAGTTAGGGCCGAACGGACGACTCTCTGGCTGTGGCTCGTTCATACACATTATCACAGTAGGTTTGTATGGTAGTCAGCGATACGTGTCCGGTTAGTTTGTTCAGAAAGAGATGTGCATCATCCGATATAATTTGATCGGAAAACAGTTTGCATACTGGGAATCAACTCCATAGAACATAAGCATTTCTGGAATTTATACCTTTTACTAATCAGGTTGTCCTGGTATCAAATCGAGGTATGCCGATATTACTTCAACTGGTTCCGTCATTATTATAATTTGTGACAGTATACAATCCAAGAATCCGTATAGATCGTTGACCTTTTCGTCTTTGCAAGACCTAAATACTACTTTAGCGTCATAACGATGTTTGGATAATCACCACTCAGCATACAGAGCTTCTACTCTGCTGTTTAGTGCGAACGGGTGTGTCCGGATGGAGTAAACCATGTTGCGACGTTCCGCAGTCCTACACACCTCGAAATCTAGGACATATCCCAGTCATTTGTCTTGCGCGTATACGTTCCAGTCTGTATGTGTTACATGTGTTTATCCTTTTCACCTCAGTACAATCACATCGTGCACTGTTCCGCCGACATCAGGGGTCATACTTGATCGATATATATATGTATACCCTCCACTGGTATCCAGTTACTGCAGTGTTTGCAGATAGTAATACGTTTCTGTTGCTGCTATAGAAGAACCTACACAATTTCTACACTTCAAGTAGCAAACAGTCAAAATGATCTTTTGATTATAAATAAGTTGTTTGTCAAAGTAGTAGTAGGAGAATAAAACAAAGGAAATGTATCACACAGTATATATAGGACAAGTGCGTCATTTTATAGTAACGATTGGGCATCTTTTTTTACTAAATCGAAGTGGTTTGAATGCGTATAGTGAATTTGATTAGATGTATCACTATGGGGTACGGGTTCTTGTGAAGCTACTCTCACGGCACATGTATGCAACGACTCTGGCTCGTAGCATATTCGCATTTTAGGATAATCTAAATAGATTAGAAAAAGGCTATGATATTGACTCCTAACTATTCCGAACTAGCTTAGACTCATCCTCTTCCCCAGTTAAACATGTCGAATATAATAATTTGCTCCAAGAATGTGTACCAGAGAGAAACAAATCGGACCCATTCTCCGACATCTTAAATTTCTACCCAGACAAATTGATTTGAAAAACCATACATCAACCGAACTTGTAAGAAACAAGCATAAGCTGAAAATGGGAAATCACACTGCACACTTGTATAAACCTGATAGTAACCAAAAAGTCGGCAAATATAATTCTCCACCGACATCGCTGTGTTATTAACATTGTAACATTCATAATAATAAACCTTCTTAGAATATCTGAAAGACAATATAGAACGAGTAACTCTGTCCCTATGGATCGAGAAACAGAAATGATTTTAGTGGATACACTTCTATCAAAGGATAGAATGATGCCTGAGGCAGCGCATCTAGCCAAAACTGTGTAATTGATAACATTGTATCTTATATTCTATTTTCTATTTTTTCTGTTTCATTTTACTTCCTTTTTATTGAATATACAAAGATACAATTTTCAGGAAGGGGGAAGCGGCCAATCAGAGGGCTGCTTGACAAAGCGACATGTATGTTGTGCAGCGCAACATCTTTATCCTGTCAATCATAAATGACTTCAATCATTTATTTTTTACTTTTCCAGGTCAATCAGGAAATATTTGATATCGAATCCAGTATGGAATACCTGAAGAAATGCATCGAGGACAAACAAGGCCCATTGAAAGTTACACAAACGCGATTGGATTTGCGCAAACGTCGACCGAATATTGAACTTTGTCGTGACGAAGCACATAATCGGTAAGAGTTTGGGCAATGTATATCTCAGTCAAGAGGTGTCTCCCAGTCACACTGTAGTCGTAAATACGAGGATTATCAAAAACCACGCAACAGCGTGACAGTTAACCTTCTTCTTTACGAGATTCTGTTTCTTGTGGATGTCACTTTTGCGATTTGAAATAGAGAGGGGAGGGGGACTGAGAGTTTGTGTTTAACTAATTATCCTTCACAGATTCTTTTCAGGCGACGTTGCATTAGAGTTTCTACCTCATTTCTGTGGATTTATGATTTCTCTGTTTATGAGCTTACAAATAATAATTTCTTCCTTCGAGACATTGCTAAGTTCGCTTGAAATTCTGACAGTGTATATCATTCCCTTCCTCCGCTTCTACAGTATATCATCACAATAACCTTGCCGTTTCTGACTGCGTTAAACGGTGCCCAAGATAGTGCTGAGGGCCGGATAACGAGTAATGGTTACGTAATTTTCGAATCCTGGTCGCACAATTCCGCTGTACGGGAAAATAATGTGTATGGGTATCGTGCAGCAGGACACAATGGATAGATAGATAGATAGATAAATATATAGATCATCGGTTTGCGACCAAGCTGGATGCCAACGCAACATCAAGAATAACAGAATATGGGGGTTGGGATACATAGTAGCGTTTTTTACGTTCAGACAGTTAAGTTGAATGACCGGATCAGTGGTTGGGTGAGGTACAGATATGAAACCCAAGTCCAATCCTAGATAAAAGAAATCAGTTATTCAAATATCTAGTGGGAACAAACGACGTACAAGCAGCATGGCATGTTTCGAATCACTTTTTTAAGTGTACACTTGAATCACTTGATGTCAAGCAGGAACGTTTGCGAAGAGGTCACCAAAAGGAACTCACGCTAGGCATAATAAACGAGAATTTTAAGAGTTTGAGCTTGTTGATCACTGAGCTGGTCGACGAGTGGCTGACACAGAGACTGGCTCAGTCACACGGTCCAAAGAGAACAAATGGGGAGTTAAAAAAGCAGGTTAGCAAGGTGAATGATTGTCATACGATCATATACGATTGCCCAATAAATATTGAGTACATTTCCAAGGCAGCACAAGACATTGTACTTTGTCGACTCTCTTCCACACGGGAAGAGTGCATGTTTGAGAATCAGGCTGGCTCAATACCTGTTCGAGGTTACAGAATACACATTTTCACTCTTCGCCAAATTCTGGAGCACTGGCATTCATTCTGTAGACTCATCATCTCTGTTTTCGTCTCTATCTGAAAGTAGCTTTCAATTCAGCCGACTGCTCTAAACTCTGGTGCTGCCTTTCCCTGAATGTTGTTTATTTCAATATTACGATCGCTTTATACTAATAGCCGAAGTCGAGTCCGGGATTACGGCACTTTTTCTCCCGAGTTCACCACGGAAAGTGGTGTTCGTCAGGGTTGCCCTGTTTCTCCTTTTCTATTT